TAATTCTATTCTTCAAAATAATTTCTTTTTCTTTTTCAGTCACAGTTAGAAAATAATGCAAGTTTATTCAGATATACAAATCCTACTAGGTAAATATTGCTTTGATTTTTTAAAATTAAGTGTGAATTATAATTAAACAGAATTTCTTCTCCAAACTAGATTTGTTAGCATTTTTACTTGATTTTGGAATCTTCACAATTGAAATTCTATTGTAATTCTTTTTTAACACAAAAATAATTAATAGTCATTACTTCCTTATAAGTTTTTAATAATATCTCATTTGTATTTTCAAATCTCTAATTTAGTCCTATGCGAGTTTCATCACATTCAGATGCCTTTCACAATAACATCACAACTTCTGATGCTGCCCAAAATACTTCGGTAAATATTGTATTATTATTGATAAATTGCATTTTTGTTTTATTGTTTACTGAAATAAATATTTTTCAGGAGTTCTCAGTAGACAATTTAGATTTCTCTAATATGTCAGAAAAAGATACTATTAATAATTCTGCAGAAAATGATCTGACTGAGGTAAATTATAATTTTTTTTTAAAATAAATATAGATTTTGATCTGTTGTTTATTTCTTAGGAGAACGTAAATCAAGAAGATCAGTTTGTTGACTGCATACCTGCTTCTTGTACGACTTGCACTTCTGGAGGATTGCATGTTCCAAATTCACGGTATATTAATTATCCTGGCTTTCATTCCCTGATATTGTTAAATATACCTTTTATAATATTACTAAACATTTTAGATCTATGAAGAATTTTGCTGAACATATCAAGAGATTACGATTTTATAGTCAATGTAATAATGATAATATCTCAGGAGGTTATTATAAAGGTTTTAGCGCAGGTATATAATATTTCAGTGATATTAATATGAAGTCTATAAACTCATTAAATTTACTTATTATTTTTTAGTTTCTGTGTAATTCTTGTGGATTTTTTAAAAATATAATGCATTTTATGCTATATTTTTATTAATACCTTCTCTTAATAAGAAGGGATTATTAAGAATATTATATAATTTAGAGATCACATTATATAATATTTTTCAGGCTCCAGTCCTGCCGATTCATCTGTTATTTTACCAAAAAGCAAACGACTGCGAAGAACTGCATCTTGTCCAAATTTTGTGCGTAAAACTGCAACTCATTTAGATATTGTCAAAGTTCCTAAGATAGAAGAAGTAGTTGATGCACCGGAGGTTATTAATTTGACAATTATTTAAAAATAATACAGTTCTTAAATTTGTCTACAATTTTTTTCCTGCTTTCAGGAGAAAGAAGTGAAAAAGGAAGAATCACAAAAACCAATAGTTGCTCGTTCTGTCCAAAATAATTCTACACAAACAGTATCATTCTGGCCACAGCCATTTGAGCTTCTCTACATTGGATTATTTCCTTTCGGTGATAATTGTTCAAGCAAACGGAATAGTGCTAAAGATACCATAAAACAATCACCTACTGATCTGCTGGACCAGTATATACAATGCTGTATTAATAGACAAAAACCCCACGGATCTGATGATAGGTATAATGAAAATGCTGAGATCAGGTCTTTACGGGAACAGTTACAATTGTTGCACATAGAACTGCAATTTGAGAGGCATCGTAGAGAATTACATGCAGATCGTAACAGACGTCTGCTAGGAAAATGTCGCGATAACCGGGCATTAGAAGAATCAAATGCCGCACTCAAGGAAAGGTTGCAGCTGTTTGAAAATGATATTCAAAAGTTAAACCAAGAACTTGGTATGTAATATTATTTAATATTTCTAGAAGTACCATCTTGCTTTAAGGAGTTAGGGGTACTTGGAGGTACAAAAAATGAGAATTTTTAGTATTGTTTTTTTGTTATTAAACATGTTTGTTTACAAAAACATTAATACGGCATCATTATACAATGTTTTGACTTTAAGTAACAAAAATTTCAAGAAAAAAAAATTAATATTTCCAAAGTTATAGCTGTTTTTGTTGACCCTGTTTCAAAAAACACTCCTGGCGGTGACTGTCATAACTTCTTAGAGATTTATCTAAAATCAATCAAATAAAAAAAATAGTTTTATAAATAGATAATCCTGGGCCTGATCGAAGGTTTTCTTTTTCTTGCAAAAATTAACAAAATAGCAGCATCAGAAATATAATTTCTAGATTTTTGGGTAAAAAATCAACAGTTAATTGGTCTTAAAAAATTGAAATTTTTGAAAAAAAGAAAATCCTTCGATCAGGCCCGAGTTTATTATGTATTCTAAAAGCTGTATAAATTTCATTAAAATTTATTAAGCGGTTTTTGAGTTACAGTGGTCGCCGCTTCAGAAAACATAGTTTTGAGAAAAACGCGTTTAAAGCTTCACATTGGATTTACGTACAGAAATTCGAATTATTGAATTACTTAAACCGAGTCATCTATTTCTGGGCCATATAATAGTTCATCAGTCATTGTGCAAGTTTCCAAAATTTCCATTTGCTGTTGCCTACGAAGCATTTTGGCCTACCGAGTGTGCTCGTTGGCGCGCTGATCTGCCACTTTCACACGTGCAGCATCCAATTTTTCAGCATACCAATGGGAATTATACTCACAATTAGGTCCTAGGGTATCCATAATCAATAATAATGATTATGTATATGTATTCAGCAAATTGTACGATAGTAGAACCAGTATTCACGGTTTTTAGGCATATTTTTTACACTAGTTGGTTGAGCTTTTATTTTTTTCTGATTATGGATTCAATCTTGAACTACACATCTTGAAAGTAAATTATCATTGCTGAGATCGTTGTAAATCGGTTTAAAAGCATTTAAAACATCAGGAGGTGAGGGAGAATAATCTTGAGAATAAGTATCGAGCTCTCCACTTGCGTCAACGCGCTGGTAAGAGCCCAATAACTCAAAAAGTAATCATCGGATCAACTTGAAATTTTCAGAGAACATTTTCAAGATATTACACTTAATGAAAATGCAAAAAAATAAAAATTGATTTTTCAAAAATTCCAAGTACCCCTAACCCCTTAAGACCACACAGAAAGCTAAAAATTCAATCAAAACAGACCCAAAAAAAATTTTTTTTAATGTAATGGCGTATTATATTAGTTTCATTTTTATTTCAGATAAAAAACGTGCAATATTCACAAACCAGGAGAGGGAGTGGAAGGCTATTAACCATAGTTGGCGCGAAAAGTATAACACCCTGATGGAGGAAAATGCGATGATGCGGGCAGCTTCCGATGCCTTAAAACAGCAATTAGCTCAACAGGCTGATGAACTTTCGAAAACAACATCCGAGTTGCAAGAAGCTAGAGCTATGCTGTTTGATCAAACTCAAGAAATTAGAGAAGCTAGACATCAAGCTGAGGTTTATACATTTTGATATTTATCATTTGAAAGTTTCACTCGAACTACATTCGGGCATAACTGTGTTCCTTTCTTTGACTATCATGTGTCTGGTTAGAGTCCGAGTCTTGTTTGGGTTTAAAATTTTCGTGATAATTTTAGCAATGTGTTTTTTTTCTAACTGATTTTATTCCTAATTTTTTTCCCTTAGATTGGAGCAAAGTATCGGAATCAGTTGCACCAAATGCATTCAGAGCTTTTATTAATGGGAGAATTGCAATCTAGATATAAGGATAAATTAGCTGAACTACCTTGGTTGAGAGCACGAGATGAAGAACTCGAAATTCTGCATGCTACATACCGCGATGAAATTATGAGTAAGTTTAGAACTTAAAAAGAAATTTTTATGTTTATATCTTCTATTTCATGTTTATGTTTATTCTTCTATTTCATTCTCCTGATCACGTCAATGTCAGGAATGTTGGATAGTTATTTAATAAAAATAAGCTCTAGTATAAATGTGTTTTAAGATATTCTTGTTTACAAAATTAGATGTCACGATATTCTGTGTTTTTAAATCCCTCTTTCCAAAACCAACTCGTTAAGCTACATTCAGATTGAAAACGTTAAAATTCTTCTAAATTATATAAACTTTAAAAATTATAATAAATTTGTATAGTATTTATGAGCCAATTTCAAATCAAATTGATTTAGATGCAAAATGCTGCTTCTTATTACAACCATTTACTCTTCTTTAAATTTCAATTCATCTTATTTTTTACTTAAACTTACATTCCAGTTGATTTCCTCATTCTTCTTAAAGTTTTCATTATTATTTATTTTCATTCATGACCAAATAAATTTTAAATAAATTTAAATTTTTCTTTCAGGTATGCAGCAAACATTAGAAATGAAATCAAATGCTCTGGAAGCTACTAGATTGAGAGTAACTGAACTCGAGAATACTCTTGCTAAGCGAGATTCTAATTTCAGTGAACAGAAACGATTGCTGAAAATTGTTAAAGAAAAATATCAAGTACAGCTTGATGTAAGTTAGACAAATAGTTTTTTTTTCTGTATTTGAATATTATTGACTACAGCTTGTGCAAAATTTGCATAAACAAGTAGATTTCTTCCAATATGCTTCTATATTTTCTAGTTTTTGTGATTATGTGATTGATTTTCTTGTAGGCTGTTGAGAGCAAGTATGCAGCTCAGAAATCTATAAACCAGCGCATGGAGGAACAGTTACTAGAACTTTATCGAAGTGAGAACTCGGCTCCAATTTCGCCTGATGGTTCGTGCAAAGGTGCGGGTGATCGCTCAGGTCCTATTGTTGGATCCTGGGACCTGTGGCCTGGATCTTCTTCTCCTTTGTCAGCTTCTCTGGCCAGCAGCGAAGGGATGATGAGCAGCGCTACAACGGCCTCTGGACTGGCCGGGCGTGCAGAAGATATTAAGAATTTGCAGGTTTGCATTTTTTTAAACTTAAAAAAAAGCCTGCATTGTATAACTCTATCATATTTTTTTATCTGCTATATTCAAATTGTAGTTATCATAATATAAATCATATATGAAACATAAGTACCTTTGCAACAAGAAAAAAGTATATTTATGAAACTAATTTTTGCAACTATGTTATAGGGTTTTATTTGTTGCAGGTTATTGTAGATCAACCAGAACAGATGATGGGATCAGAGCTTATAGAACAAAATTTACTGCCTAATGAAAACAGAGATATTGACTGATATGAAATTGAGATTTGGTATTTATTCTATTGCATTGTTGTATCTAAGCTTATTAGATTTATATTGTTGTTTCAATAAAAATATATAATACAAATATACATGTGCATGTTTTTTTAAGTTTTTTTCCAATTACATAGTTAAAATAAAAATTGGAAACTATGAAATTTCTCGTTAAATACGAAGAAATTTGTGGTATTAATTAAACAATTCGAACCAACTGAAATTAAAAATATGCAACTATACCAGAATAAAAGACCTTCTTTATTGTTTATTTTCTATTTGTATATAGAGGAACACTATAATTTGCTTTGTATTTGTATACTATATATTTATATAAGTATAAATACTTATTCATTTAGTAAGTGTTCAGCAGATTCGAACCTCGAACTCCAACTCTTCTTCGATGATAATACAAAACAAATCAGCAAAAATTTTCGTCGACGATTTCGGGAACACGGTTCAACCGATTTCAATTACTCAAAAACATTCGATTCCTATTGATAAGGAGACGTGCTGATTAGTTTTTGGCGAAGGCAGGTCTAGCCGTTCCGAAGATATGGGGCCAAAAGCGGTAACTCAGTTTTTAAGAGAGCGGAGCGTCTGATTTTAATAATTCAACATTTTACTTGTATTGACAAGATGAAGTACTGATTAAAATTGTGGGCAGACAGGTCTAGCGGTTTCGGAAAACTAGTAAAAAAAAAGTGCGAATTGGCGGTCAAAAATGATCATTAGACATAGGCACATCAAATTATCAGATATTTTATGGAGATTTCAATAATACGTTTAAATTTTCTTTACATTTCTATGGGTTCCGTAACATCGTTGTCTGTTAGACGGCGACGCAGCGCTCACGCGTTTCTATGCAGCTAAAGCAGTACGATTGCTTTGAAAAAAGATCAAAATTTTTAAAATAATTCAAAACAAAGCAAACATTTTTGCTAAAATTTACAATTTCTGCAGAAACCTAATTTTTTCAAAGTTAAAAAAAAATATAATATTTTTTAAAACAAATAATTTTTGGTACGGGAAGTTTCAGGATTTTTTCTTAAGGTACGATGCCATACATGCACCACTAGTTTCATTATGTAATAATAGTTCGATAAATAAATAAATAAAAAAAAAAATAGTTCGAAGTTTATTATGAAAGTGTCGTTCTTATGTTAGCGCTTCAGTTAATGCCCGGCATTACTAGTGATTTTTGATACAGGTCAGAATATCGTCAAAATGCAATATCATTTTAAAAACTTTTATAAGAATTTTGTGGTGCATTCGATGTGTAAAATTGTGTACAAAATGTGTAAAATAATGGCGATTTAATTGTGTAAACATACGTGCAACAAACAATTTGACTGGACGCCATGGTACCCAAAATGTTCAAGGTAGGTCAAAACGCTACTACTTTTTTACTGATGCTGATTCATTTGGTAAAAGAAATCTGTTCACACACATACATTTTCTAAATTTGGTCTCATTCGATTCAGAATGGCTTGAAACGTCGAGAAAACATAAAATTAGCGAATCAAATTTTTTATGAAAACAAACTTCTTCGGGAAGTTAATTATAATATGTCTTTTTCCAAATGTTTGTATACAAAAATCAGTGATTTTGAGGATATCTGTAAATTATTGAATTAAACCTTTGAAAGATTACCAAGCATTTAAAATATATATTACATAGCATCAGTTTAATATAAAATGAATATGGAGTGCATCCATCTTTTAAGACACGTGTTGCCAATAAGCCTGCCACTACCCTCTGGTCAGTCTTGTATGGTTCTTATAAGAATATGGTTGAATGTATTGGATGTGTAAAAAAATTGTTTAATTTAGTGATATACTTTATTGTGTAAAAACACGTGCTAAAAACAATTTGACAGGACGCCATGGAACCCAAAATGTTCAAGGTAGGTCAAAACGCTGCTACTATTTTACTAATGCTGATGTGATAATGTCGTTATTTGATAATGTACTAAAAATGATTATACACAAAGCCTATAACTTTTCGGTAAATTATAATCTGTCTTCTTCCAAATGTCTGTATACAAAAATCAGGGATTTAGATAATATATGTATGAATTATATTGTATTAAACCTCTGGAAGGTTACTAAGCAATAAACTTTTTCAATTACACTATATAATTAGAATGAATATATTCAGTGCTGGATTTACAGTAGGGGCAGTCGGGGCTACTGCCCAGGGCGGCAAATTTTCGGGGGCTGCAAAATTTGGATAGTGAGAAAAAAAATCTATACCATATAATTAACTTATTTTTTTAATAACATTTTTTATTTCAAGAAATATAATTAATAAAACATTATACAAATGCAATGCAAAATTTGGCAATTTGGCTAATATAAGGATACGTAAATGAGTTGAAAGTTTAAAAAAAATATGTTCTTCAGATCTCGAGCCCTTTTAAGACGACGAATTTGTGCACTTCCAAGCTTATAGCAAAGAAAAAAATTAAATTAGTGAAGCATGGCATTGTGCCTTACGGCAAGTTACTGAAACTTTTCGTACTAAAAATTACATTATATAAAAAGCTTTAAATTTTTTTGAAAAATGTTGAAAATTGAATTTAAGAAACCTTTTTTTATATTTCGATTTTTTTTGTAAATTATTAACTTTTATGTATTTATTAAAATTAAATTTTATTTGCATGATTCGATTTCTATTGATAGCGAGACGTGCTGATTAGTTATTCACCAAGGCAGGTCCAAAAATAATAATTCAGTTTTTGAAAAATGGAACGTCCAATATCATTAAAAGAAATTTACATGTATAGACAAAACGGAGAACTGATTAAATTTGTGGGAGGCAGGTCTAGCGGTTTCGATAATCCAATAAAAAAATTGAAAAAGAAACATTTGGCGGTCAATATGATCATTAAACATATGCACATCAAATTATCATATTTTTTAATAATAAGTATAAATTCTGTTTACATTTTACTATGGGTTCTGTATCATTATTTATTCGTTATTATGCGAGGCGACGCTTACGCGCTTCTTTATTTTGTCTCTATGCTGCTAAAGCAGGGCGATCGCCTAAAAAAATTCTTTTATTTTATTTTTTTGTACGGGAAGTTCCCGCAATTTGCCTTAAGGCACGATGCCAAGCACCACTATTTATAGTATGTAATGCGTAATAAATTTTCTGCAATCAAATAGTAATTTTAATTTTAGAAAAATGATATATAAGAACTATTTTACCTAAAAAATTAGGAATGGGGCGGCATTTTTGTCAGTGCCCCAGGGCGCCAAATTTCTAAATCCGGCCCTGAATATATTAAAAAGCATCAGTTCAATGAAAAATGCATATGGAGTGCATATTTTGAGTGATTAATACCATCGAAGGGGCGCTTTCTTTTCAGATGCGTTTTGCCAATAGTCTTCCATTACCCTCTGGTCAGTCTTGTATGGTTCTTATAAGATAATGGTTGAATATATTCGATGTGTAAAAATTTGTGTAATTTATAAATTATTATTATAGTGATATACTTTATTGTGTAAAAACACGTGCTAAAAACAATATGACAGGACCCCATGGACCCAGATGTTCAAGGTACGTCGAATCGCTATTTATAATGACACTGACATAATAAAAGTTGATTTTATAAAAATGATGTGACGCCATGACACAAATTTTGCTTCATCTGTCAATTTCAAAATTCCTGACTAAAAATACTAATTACTGAATTGAACTTCTGAAAGATTACCCGGCAGTAACCTTTTGGATTTTTATAGATATTATAATTGAAATATGTATTATATATCAATTTGAAAAAATATAGTATAAATAATTGTATATACAGTACTTGTCAGGGTTTTGAAAACCGTCAAGGCGGCGCTTTCTTTCCAGACATTTGTTGCCAGAATTGTATGGTTTTCTATTGTAGTGTGATGTTTTTTTATATACTTTTCTTCACTATCACTGAACAGTCTGAACACCATTGTGATTTAAAGTGATTTTGAAAAAGCATCACTATCACTAAAGAAATACATTTCTCCATATCGTTGGTGCTAATTAATTCATCACTCACTGCACACATATTATAACAGTAATTACTTATGTCATCATTTCATTTTAGTTCGCACGAATTATTTTATATACTTTTATTATTTTTTTATCATTCATCTTTTATTACCATATTTACTGTTATTTTAATATTACCGATGTTATAATTTACTTATTATTGTGAATTACAACTGTAACTCATAGAATACCAACCATAGAAAGCCAAAATATTTTTACTCATACCGCCCGTAGAATTTTTTTTTGCTATTTTGTTGGCAGGACTTTTTGTTGGATAGTTTGCAATACGCCTGATTTCACTCCATTAACTGATTTAATAATTAGTTAAATATTAATTAATAAATAAATTAATTAATATAATCCACATCAGTTCCACACTAATTCCATAATCCAGAGGTTCCAAACAGTTGAATGCTGAAACTTTTTCTACCGTGATTTGAATTTTTTCAAAACCATTTGAACTAGTGGGGTGTATGGCATCGTGCCTTACGGCAAATTGCTGGAACTTTCCATACCGTGTTCTAAGAATATTGAATGTTTTCAAATAGATTATTATAAATATTGTAACATTGTCTAATATTTATAAAAATTATATAAACTGAATTGCAAAGTTGAAATTATTTGTTTAAGGTATATTAGAACTATAGTCAGAATTAAAAATAAAATCTGAATTATTTTTGATATACAAAATTTTTTTTTTCCAAAATCAATTATTTTGTTAAGGCAAGCAGAAAGTTCTTTGAATCGTTTAAATCGGACGCTTAGTTCTTTCAAAAACTGCCATTTTTTACACATTTAGCTCCGTATCTTTGAAATGGCTGGGCCTGCCTTTGCCAAAAACTAAAAAACATTTCTCCCAAACATTTATAATTGAATGTTTTTTAGATCATTCAAATCGGATGTTCCGTTCTCTCAAAAACTCGATTTCTATTTTCTGCACTCTTTGGTTTTTATCTCCGTAA